TGCGCCCGGCGCGTGAAGCCCAGGTACGCGTCGGGAGAGGGCGCCCGGGGATCGCCTTCTGGGGAGATGCCGACCGCGGACCGAGCCCCAGCCGGAGCCGTGCGCGGCCCTAAGTTCCCGTCCGTGCCCCTCGGGGCTGGGCCCGTACACCTGAAAGTTCGGATGCCCGACTGGGTGGGCTGCGTCGGAGCGGTGGTCCCAGGAAACCCAGGCGCCCGCTGCTGCGGTTTCCTGGCCTTTTTCCTCTGAGCTTCAGATTGCGCGGCGGGGGGCTGGCCCCCGGGGGGGGGGTGTCGCATGGCAAGAGCGCTGCCGCTCAGGGTGCCACCTGCCACCCTGGTCCCTCTTGCACGCACGTTTAATTTTCCCTCTCTTGCCTCTCTGGGACCCAACCCGCTTTCCCCGCCTCTTTCCCTCCTCCGGCCGGGCTGCAGACAGCAGCGGCGGCTGGCTGCCCTGGCACTGCCGTCTGGGTTAGGGCAGCTTGACCCATTTCAGCTGAAGCCTCTTAATCCCCCTCGCCTGGGCTGGCTCGCTCCTCCCGGGACCAGCTTTGGAGAGCTCAGCCCCTTTCTTAGCAGTTGCCCTAGGCTTCTGCCTCAGAAGCCAAGAAACTGTAGGATGCTGGGGGCTGCCCAGGTGTAGGGAGAGCTCCTAGCCAACACTGGCTGGCACCCCTCCCCAGTGTCTCCCATCTGCCTGGCCTGCGCTTCCCACCTCTATGAGTCTAGTTGGGGCTGGAGAGTCGGCGGTGGGCAAGTACACCACCCACCCCCAACCAGCCCAAGTGTAGGAAGAGCCCTCTGCCTGTGTCCAAGCCCCGTTTTAACACAAGGGGACACGAAGACCCAGAAAAGGGGCTGGACTTCCTCAAAGCCACACAGCTAGTCACACCACGATCCAGCCCTCTGGTCTTCCAGAGCTGTGTCTTCCCGCTGAGCTCGCCTGCCCTTTGGCTTCTGGCTGCCTGTCCTTTCCCATGGCTTGCAACCAGCTTCCAGGCTCCGTGGGGACAGGACTATTATCCGAGATATGGCAGCCTTTGTGGAGGGACTCAGGCCCAGGTGGTGGACTGTCAAGTTTGAGGCATTTGAGGGACGCTGGGACCTTCCCAGTCAGGCAGGATCCTGAGAGCCACCTGCGCGGGTAGGCAGCATGGTGCCCACCTGTGGGCTGGTACTTGCTGTACTGGTTTGAACCCTCCGTGCGAGGTGGAAGAGCACGTGGGGCTGGGGTCCACGGAGCTCATGCGTTGGTGGTTATGCTCCAGGGAACCCTCTGGGAGAGCCCCATGAGGACAGAAGAGTGATGGAGAGTATGCCCAGCTGCCTGAAGGACATCCCGGCTTGGCAGAAGACAGTCTCTGAGAACGGCATCGTGGGACAGGAGCTGGGTGGCCTGCCGCAGGATGGCCGACGCCGTGGGGCGCTGTGCCTGGAACAGCCTGCTCCCTTCTGGAGGGGAGTCCTAAGCACCCCAGACTCTTGGCTTCCACCTGGCTTCCCGCAGGGTCCCAAGGATGCGCTCCCACTGGTGGAGGGCGAGGGCCCTGGAAATTTGGAGTGGAAGACCAGCTGGTTGGGGAGCAAGGAGGGGCTGCGTTGGAAGGAAGCAATGCTGGCCCACCCACTGGCCTTCTGTGCGCCAGCATGCCCGCCTCGCTATGGCCCGCTGATTCCTGAGCATGGCAGGGGCCATCCCAAGAGTGACCCTGTGGCTTTAAGACCCGTGCACTGCCCCTTCCTTCTGGAGACCAAGATCCTGGAGCGGGCTCCCTTCTGGGTACCCACCTGCTTGCCACCTTACCTAGTGTCCGGTCTACCCCAGGGACGTCCTGGTGATTGGCCCCTGGCCCCGTACCCTTGGGTGTACTCAGCGGGCCAGCCCAAAGTGCCCTCTGCCTTCAGCCTGGGCAGCAAGGTGAGTGCTAGGACACACTGTGTGCCTGTGACTCGAGCCATGCAAGGCAGCTCAGGGGCCCCAGAGCAGGCCTTCCAGGCAGCACCACTCTGAGCTTCCAAGCAGAGGCCCAGGCAGATGGCACCTGCTAACTCAGAACTGTCCCAGGCCCCAAGGTCAATCCCATTCAGTTCCTACTCAGAGCAACTCCATCTCACTGGGCTTCCTCCAAACCCGTGTGGCCCCACCCCCCATTTTAGGAGTAGACTAACCCCTGTTCCCTGCAGGCCAAGGCCCTGGGAATGGGACCTTAGGATGTGCAGACAGGGGCCTGTGTTTAGGGGACATCTCTCATAGATGACCCCTCCTTCCAGGAACGAGATGTGAAAAGATTTAAAAACTAGCATGGCACAGGGTTTCAAGCCATCAGAAGGAATTCTGAATGCCCTTTGATTGTGCTAAGCAAGCTAGATTGCACGGAGGTCTGAGGCTTTCTGGGGAAGGGTCTAGGGAGAGATAGACAGGGCAGTGGGGGAGGCTCTCAGGGGACCCAGAGAGATGCTGTAAATCCGCCATCATTCCAGTTCTGCACTTTGCAGCCCTTAAGGCCACCCAGGGGCACACCTGCTGGGGGGGGTCAGTTCTGCCCACCCTTTTAAGCACTGGGAACCAAAACCAGCACCTGCTGAACCTTTCTTCCTCCCTTTAGGGCTTTTACCACAAGGATCCAAGCATTCTCCGGCTGGCCAAGGAGCCAGTGGCATCTGTGGAAGCTGGGCTGTTGGGCTTAGCCCCTGGTGGGCACCTCCAGAGAGCAGGGGAGGTAGAACGGCCTGCACTCCTCCCAAGAGATGGAGAGACAGGAGCCAGCAGGCATCCCAATCTCTGCCCGCTTTTCCTGGGGCCTGCAGACACTGCACCCCGGAGCCCCTGGCCCACTTGTCCCCCAGGTCTGGTTCACACTCTTGGAAACGTCTGGGCTGTGCCAGGGAGTGGGAACCTTGGGTACCAGCTGGAACCAATAGCCGCATCAAGGTGCCCCTCTCCTGGGCCTCCCACCATCAAGGTTGGCATTCGTTCTTCTTACCCACCCGAGAGGGATGGGGGACTTGGCCCTTGTGGGCAGTGCCAGGAGGGCCTAGAGCAGGATACCAGTGGGGCAAGCGAGTCCAGTGAGGAAATGAACAAGGCCCCTGGTCCCAGGGCCTGCCTGCCCAGCCATCACACCAAACTAAAAAAGACATGGCTCACACGACACTCTGAGCAGTTTGCGTGCCCAGGTGGCTGTCCTGGGGATGAGGAGAGCCCAGCTGGCCAACTCCGGCCCCTCAAGAGGGCAGGTAGCCCCGAGGTTCAGGGAGCAGTGGGCAGCCCTGCCCCCAAGCGTCCACCTGATCCTTTCCCAGGCAGCATGGGGCAGGGGGCCAAAGGTTGGCAGGACATGCTGAACTCGTCAAAAGGGAACAAGGCCGAGGCAGAACAGCGTGATGACCAGAGAGGTAAGAGGGCACATGAGGGGCTGCAGGGAGGCTCTGCCTGGGAAGGGCCAGCCGGTGCTGGGGCTTTGCAGGGGGTGGGAATCAGTAGATGTTTTATAAGTGGACCATCCCTGTTAGTCAGCTCTCCCAGCTGGGCTGTGATGGCCATCTGGGAGGTTGCATTGGCATGTGCAGGCCAGCAGCCTGCTAAAACATGGCTCTGTCTTCATACGATGTCTCCTCCCAAGTCATGGTGTGTTGGTGGCAGTGTGAATAACACAGTTAAAAACATGGACTCTGGAGTCAGACTGCCTTTGCAAGTGACTTCACCTCTTCGGGCCTCCATTTCTTCAGTGATCTGATGGGAATCAAGAGAGCACCCACCTTATAAAGACTGCTGTACAGATGCACCGGTAAAACCCACCGGAAGGGCTGTGAAGAAAGCCTCACACCTTGGAAGTACTCAATAAGCGTTAGCTGTCAAAGAATACTTGGGCCACAACCCCCACCTGCGTGCGGACTTCTTTCTCCAGCCTCTCCAAAGGACTCCTTGACCTGCCTTGGGAGCGGCTATCCTGTTGCCCAGTGGATGTTGGGACCTCGATTTGGGCTCTGCCAGTGTTAGGGCCTTGGGCACGTGCTGGGCCCCTCCGCCTTGCTCTGCCCTTCCTGGAGGGTTAGCGTGGCTGGCCTCCTGTTTTAAGAGGACCTTCATCTCTTAGCCTTTTGGACTGCTGAGTCTGGAGCAGGAGCTTCCAAGGCCTCGCCCAAGTCCCCCCCACAGCTGCCGTTGGTGTGGATCTGCCCCCTGCCCTTCCAGACCCCCCTGCCTGGCCTGGAAAGTGGCTGGCCCCTTCGCCTTCTTGGGTTACTGCACCTATGGCCTGTGTTGAAACTCTCCAGGCTTCTCACCTTCCGGCGCCCTCTGTCCACATTGGGTGATGTCCTCTCACAGCCAACGGGATCTCTAAGTCGGGCGGTGGATCCAGCCAGACGTTACACTTGACACTGGCTGCATCTCCCACAGCGGGCAGGGCGATTGCCCTCCTTGTCCGTCCCCCCCCACTGCCCTGGGACAGCCCACCTGTCTCTGGGGGCTCTTCAGTCCAGGCCAGGGGATTCTTGGTCTCTGTTCAGCCTTTGGGGTTTTTGATTTGTTGAGCTTTCTAGTTGGCTGGTCCACTCTTGCTGGTTCTGAATCCAGCCTCATAGGCCTGCTGCTCGGTGCTGGGCATTCTGTGTGTGGAGAGGGTGGGTCTAAAGCAGGGGCAAGGCGGGCAAAGGCCCAGGAAGCCAGACCCCAGACAAGCTGTGCTGTCCTCCCCCTCACCCCCCAGGACCCCGAGATGGCTCGGCCAGCCAACAGGACGAGGGGCTTCGAGACACACTTTGCCCAGCTCTCCCCCAAGGTGGCTCTCAGTGCCACAGCTGCACTCCGGCAGCTGGCGAGGGGGGAGGGCTGGCCTGCCACTCCCAACACACTCTGAGGTGAGCCCCTGGCCTCTGGGTGGCCCTGAATTTCTCCCTGGAGGTGCCTCTCTTACCTCCGCCTGCCCTCTCCCCAGACTGCCTCTTCGAGGGCAGCATCAACTGGAAGAAGATTCAAGAGCCAGCTCTGAGGAGGGAGGAGCGTTCGACCCCGAGGCCCAGCTCAGCATCAGCTTGGCCAAGCACCTGCTCCGCGGTCTGGGGGACCGACTATGCCGCCTGCTGCGGAGGGAGCGGGAGGCCCTGGCCTGGGCACAGAGGGAAGGTGAGCAGGGCGCTGGGGACCCCAAGAGTGGCCACGCATATGCTTTCTCCACGACCTTGGGATCTGCAGAGTGTGTG